AAGGCTTTTCCCCTAGGCCGTCTGTGTCCTTGTCTCTAGATTACTGCCTTTGCATCGCGCTCTTACGCGCTTGATGTTCTGACCATCATCGTTTCTCGCACTGCGATTTGGAACTCTGCCACCCAGATTTTGTCCAATTATCCCAGCAAGGCGTGCTCCCTCGTTCATTCTGCGGGTACCTTGCCAGAGCCCAAGGTGACCCGAAGCTTTGCCCTGTTGCCATACACGGTGTGCGGAAGTTTGCTCCGCGTCGAAAGTCCCTTGACACCAAGGTACAGGGCATAGATCGTGGCAGTATGAGCCCGACACGTTCTGCGCCGGCAACCTCACGGCCTTCTTGTGGAAAAGCGATTTGCAAGCCACGCCCCCGCTTAGAGCCCTCACCTTTACCTCTGCAGCCCGTTGAGCATGTGTCGTCGGCGAAAGATCAATTTCTAAATGCGACCACTTCTACGGCACACAACGCTTCGCCAGCAAAAGTTGCTCGCAGCTCAAGTAGCCTATTTTCTGGACATGGAAGTCTAGGATTCGTTCCCATCACGGCTCCCCCGGCTCCAGAATTCACCACAGATTCTCCTTCCAAACACCCCTCTTTCGGATATCGCCACAGCGCTGCTTCTTCTTCCATGCCCCAATCCGCGTTATTCACGACATTCTCCACTTCCAGTTCAGGGAAACACTCACCTAAGGATGCGCAGTCATCAGATGAGCCCAACAGCGATAATTTTGCAGACTTCCCTGAACCCTCATTCATACCGAAACCTGTGAAGAGGACACTTATGGACGCGGCGCCACTAAAGGAACGACAAACAAAGAAGCAGAAGCGGGAGGAACCTAGTTCTATGCGCTTGCCAGAGCCTCATGAAATGCCCCCGATAGAAGACGATGGCACGAAGCCGCCTTATAGCTATGCGACGCTAATTGGCATGTCTATACTTCGTGCGCCAAACAGGCGATTGACCTTAGCGCAAATATACAAGTGGATCTCGGATACGTTTTCATATTACAAAAATAGTGACCCAGGTTGGCAGAACAGCATTCGGCACAATCTTAGCCTGAATAAAGCATTTATCAAGCAAGAAAGACCTAAGGATGATCCAGGGAAAGGCAACTACTGGGCAATTGAACCTGGAATGGAAGCTCAATTCCTCAAAGACAAGCCACTGCGCCGCGCAACCATGTCCAGCCTTCCTCTTCCGGCCGCGCCGCAGAAGGACACAGCTCGTCCGCACAACTCAAGTACTACTACTTGGGCAGTCCCGCCGCCCCCATATCAAGCGACAGGAAAACATTCGAAGCCTGTGGATCTATCTTCTGATGCCACCCTCCCTGCTTCTGACCCTGCTCTTCAAGAAGACACGAGTGACGAACATACCAACCGTACTGTGCAACAGACTCTTGGACATCGATCGTCACCACTGCAACCCATACATTCGTCACCACCTGTTGTACCTCCTCGTTACACTCGACAAGGAACCCCTCCAACCCCTTCTCAAACCATCACTTCGGGATTAGTATCCATCACCAATAAGAGAAAGCAAACTGCAGTGAATGACAGCGGATACTTCTCGTCGCTAGAGTCCTCAGCTTTGCGACCAAACAAAGCTGGGCACATTCTGACTTCGGATCTAGACATAGACCCTCCACGAATCAAGCGTGGTCGGGCAGAGGAAGAGATAGCTCGAATTCGAAGTTCCTCACACGACATTAGTCCAAGTCACTGTGGCATCTTGAAGGACTCAGGATTAGTTGTTGGTTCATCGCCCCTCCGTGGGGAATATATCAGCATGCTACCCCCTCCTATCACGCCGGTCATCAAATTCAAGAAACCCGCTAAGCCACCACCTTCAGTATCACCAAACACGAATCTACGGAACCACCGTAAAAAGATCCAACACATGGTCAATTCCCCGATAAAACATTTGGGACTCAACGATGAGGATCTTCCGTGGAGTCCCGCTTTTAATATCCAAGACGAAACATTCACGCCGAGCGAGAATCTTCATACTGGCTTCGACGTCTTTGCGGATCCTGTTTCGGATAACATATCAACCCCAGCATACGGCTCGCCAGAGAAGCGGTCTATTAAGCGTACTCGAACAGACGCTGGCGGATCAAATGGCAATATACTGGCAGACATCACATCATTGAATGCCAACAACAGGCTAGGGGTGCAGCCGTTGCAATCATCGACCAAAGCTAAAGGCCTTCTTTTCCCCGAGTCGCCTTCCAAAGTGACTGACTCAGCACGTTATCTGGACTCTTCACATGAGGATTTCTTCTCGTTTCATCTTTTTGATGAAAGCCCGACAGAAATCGATGGCGTGGACATCCTGCAGGGATTTCAGAAGATCGGGGGTATGAGCAAGGAAGAATCGTCAAGATCGAAGTCATACCCACCGAAGCCTTCGTGCAGTCATCGGAGCAACACACCTCTGTTCTAAAGCCAGGAGGTTGGGGGCTTGGACGATGAAGGTAAAATTGAAGCCACAAAACAATAATGCGCAGCGAGCGCCTCGGGAGATTTGCATTTTCTTTGATGGCGTACTAAATTGGCAAATTGCCCGATCCAGCTGGTAGACAACGGGTATTTCTGAGGGATAGGGGGGGGCGCATTTAATCTGTGTGTTTGTTTCATTTTTGAGCAGATGAGGTTGCTGGAGTTTAAAGGGTGGTTGGTAGTCGGTTATGACATATACCGGACCTGGAATGACCTTGTTACGACCTTTATGACGACATTTGGTAAGATGTACATGAGTATGTGATGTCTAAACGAACTCGAATTTCTGCTTTTTCGCTTGCGTGTCGTTTTCTTTGCTTATGTCCCGGAATGTTTGGGGTGATTTACCAAGCACATATTCAAGTTAGCTTCCACTACAAGAGCGCACAGTTTGCATTGTTTCTGTATTTTTTGAAGTGTAAAAGAGCGTAGAAGCGTATTACTATCTAGTTTCAGAAAAGGTAATAAGGAGTTCAGGTATGTTCTGAATAATGAACAGAGCCTAGTGAGTTGGTGCCGAATGATGCGCGAAGCAAGCAGAAACGGAAAAGATGTTCGAAAGGCAGCGTACGAGGAAACAGTACATGGAAGGAAAAGATGTCTGTGGTCTCAATTCCTAACCTAACGCCGTACCAAAGAAAGGTCTAACCTGCATGACCTGTGCCTCTCAACTGATTTAACGAAACCCGGATACGCTAAAATACAGAAAAAGAAATTTTGTTTTCGAGATGAGGCTAGTCGCTGCTAGCACAACCGCGACACCCACAGCTAACACATTGAATTGTTTGATCTTCTTTGAGCTGCGCCTTAGGTACCCGACAGATGCAAGTTGCATTGAAATTCGTTTCCTTCGTCTGGATGCACCGGAGGCAGCATAACTGTAATAAAGACATGGCACGTGTTAGTGATTTCATCTTATTCCAGGTCTTGGTAGGGCAAACTCGTGGTAGTATCCCTTGAAGAATGACAGAAGGAGATATAAGGAAGAGCAGAAGTAGAAAACGGGTAGATAGTAACCTTTTCGTAGCCTTGCTTCTTCCATTTCGCGATCAAGTTGGCGTCCGCATAGTTGTTCTTCAAAAGCCATTCGTACAGCTGTTTTGATATGGCTTCTTTTTCGTAATACAAGTCATATACGTATCTCGACCCTATGTGTCATACTATGAGTAACTTTGAGCCGTCGACAACTGGAATATGAATGTCGACGGAAGACCACTTACTCTGGTGGCTGATTTGGAATATGGGCCACAGCATCTCGTGCTTCTTCTTCCCGTCATGCGATGCATTCTCCGCATCTTTCATCTTATTGCTGAACTCCAGCAGTGTATCCTCTATATCATCGAAGCCTGCCGGGGGCGGTTTGCGATTGCGCGAGGTCCGTACTGGGGGCATCTCTGGATATGTAGCCAACAAGACAAAACTAAAGGCGGTTTTGCGTGATTTCTCGAAAGAGGGACAGAAGTGAGTATTGCGAAACCAAACACCCAAACCCTGTTGATTGATTTTCCGTAGCCCAAAGAATGATTTGCTCCACAATAGATAGATGCGTTCGAGCGGCGGGCGCTACGAGCTTGCGGCCGCATCTGCCATGGCACACCGCCTTTAATTCTTCTAGGCGTTTGATTCCGATGGTTGAGCATCGTCAGAGACCAACCAGCAAACCATCCCATCTCCTACTCAAGACCTGTACTTAGCATACTCGCGATCCGTTCCTAAAACAACATTCATCATTAAATTCTACCTTTCCGGTCCTTTTCACAGAAATCCATCTTCACCATGGACGCCCAGACTCAGGTCGATATTAGCAAGCTGAATGATGCCGACAAGAACGAACTGAGCCAGATGTTGGCAAACGAGCAACAAAAGGCCACGATGCAGCAAAGTGAGTCAATAATGTCCGAGTCGCTATTATCTAAGCCGATTCGTCCCTGTCTTGCGACTTTCCAGGGCAACAATTTGCTAATGGTCATCATTTAGCCGTCCATTCGTTGTCCGATATTTGCTGGAAGAAATGTATCGCGGGAAAGATCTCGTCAGGTCGCCTGGAACAAAATGAGGAAACATGCGCGCAGAACTGCGTTGAGCGGTGGATGGATTCGAACCTTGCGATCCTGAAGCATCTCGAAGCTCTTCGTGGATAAGATGTATAATCTTTGTCTTCTACTTTTTTCAACGAAAAGCAGCGGGCTCATGCATAGAGCACGTCTGCCGTCACCCTGCATGTAAACGGGTACCTCATGTACTATATCAATCATACCAATAGAAAGGACGTGCTGGCTTTGCCACATGGAATAGCACCGTGACCGTGCCGGAAGTTCACTTTTCAGCTCTGGCGGCCTGCGCATGTAAGGCTGTGACATGCATAAATTTGTACCCTCTACTTGAACACTAGGCCTAGGATAGGCAAGTAGCCTTGAGTCCGCGGCAATGGCTTTAAGATCTACGGAGCCTAGAACCAGATTTATTCGTGGTATTCATGCATTCGAGTAATTCCCTCTTCTTTTTTGGAAACGATCATTCAGCCCTCATTCAAGCATTGGCAGCTAACTTTATGACTGATATTTATGAACCACCGCGCAAAATAAAAATTCACCCAAACCCTAAATGAAAAATATCTAGACGATGGCAAGCTTGGTGGCAGCGATGTCCAGAGCATCAACGTCAGGGGTTAGACGGGCGTAGGCCTTCTTCAGTCCATCGGGTCTAAAGACAAGTTAGATATCCCGAACTCGGTAGTTAATCAATGATTATGAGATAGGTCGTCGTACCTGACGAGGGTGTTGACCTTGACGGTGTCAACGTCGTACAGCTTCTTGAGGGCGAGCTTGATCTGACGCTTGTTGGACTTGACATCGACGATGAAGACCAGGGTGTTGTTCTCCTCGATCTTCTTCATGGCGCTCTCGGTGTTGAGAGGGTAGAGGACGACCTTGTGCGCATCGAGGCGAGGGACATGGGGGATCGACTTGCGGGGGTACTTGGGCGACCGGGAAAGCTGAAGGGTCTTGGGGCGGTGGAAGGTCGTAGAGGTGCGGACCTTACGAGACTTGTGCGCCTGGAGAATCAAATGATATTTAGCACCGAACAGAGCATGGGCGGATTTGAAGCCTTGTGAGAACGTACACCAGCACCCTTAATGACTGCCTTGGCGGCAGCACCAGCCTTGTCGCTGGGCTTGGTCTTGCCTATAGATCCTGAATGTCAGCCCGTCCGTCACTTCAAAATGAAATATAGCCGATCGCTCGTTCGAAATCACAAAATCCATGCAGAAGGTTGACAATAGCGGGGGAAACACAGGGCTCAAATCGTTCATCGGAAACGCCTTTTTTTCGATCGTGCTGAGAGGGCCTTATCCCCCGGAGTACCGCCACATGTAGATGCCATTCGAGGCTCACAAAACCGGGATTCCGACAAGAACAAATCTGCAAATTTCAAGAAGACGGATGAATCGCATAAATGATGCCTACCTTGCTTGTTATCCACCTTGGGAGCCATGGCTATCGTCCGGCGCTGTCGTGTTGATTGTCGCAGTGTCGAGTGTCGAATTATTTGGAAGGTATTCGCTTAATGAAAACCCTACGGTTGACTCTGTGGGTCACCTGACCAGCCCTCCGTGTCGGATGGTTTGGATCTCTTGGCGACCACAACTCGAACGGGCTAGTCTGTCGAGTTTGTCTTCTTTCGGCATAGTGTATCCGCTACGATCACGTGAAGAATAAGCGGTTTCTCACATGTTCGAAGCCATCAATGATTTCGACAATGGTTGAACGAGCCCAATTGATGGCTGTTGCCTGCGCAGACACTACGACTTAAACGCCAGGGGACTGCCAGGGCAGCAGTATTACTAGGTCAAGACATGGGGGCTTCTGACAAACAACGGAGAAAAAGACCTGCTCTTCTGTCCCGCACCCGCCCACCAACTGTCCGGGCAAAGCATGCGGCCTTGTCGGCGAAAGCTACTCGAAATCTCATTCGATCACACCATCGACTACTCAAGGCGCATGCCCAAGCTGTACGGGCCGGTGATGATGCTTTGGTCGGAAAGATCGAAGCGCAGATCCGGGAAAATGGTGGCTTGGAAAGCTACCAGCTCGCAAGCAAACTTGGCCAGTCTCTAGATCGTGGAGGCGACTCTAGCAAGGTCTTGGTTGATTGGATAGCTCCTCGGTTACTGCCAATGGCAAATACGCCCTACAAGCTCCGAGTACTCGAGATTGGAGCTCTAAGTACGAAGAACGCTTGTTCAATGAACAAGTCACTGGATGTCACTAGGATAGATCTGAATTCTCAAGAACCGGGAATCTTGAAACAGGACTTCATGAAAAGGCCGCTTCCCCAAAACGAGTTCGACAGGTTCCATATCATCAGTCTCTCCTTGGTCCTCAATTATGTTCCCGACGCCGCCGGTCGGGGTGAAATGTTGAAGCGCTGTATATCCTTCTTGACCACATCACCCCCCTCCGGGTCTTCTCTTGATGTTACCCCAAGCCTATTTCTGGTCCTGCCAGTCTCCTGCGTTACCAATTCGCGCTACCTCACCGAAAGCAGGCTGCAAGACATAATGTCTAGTATGGGCTTTGCGTTGGCTAAGACCAAGCAGACTTCCAAGCTGATATTCCAACTATGGGATCAGGTTGGCGACTACAACGCCAAACCTTTCAAAAAGGAAATCTTGAACCCTGGAAAAACAAGGAACAATTTTTCAATTATCGTCAAGTGATAATAGTGTCGTATGGGACAACAAGAAAGCGTCGCTATCCGCACTTTCATAGTGCAGAGATGGCATCCTGCGGTAGAATGGACCATGCAGTCCCAATCAATGCCAATATCGAGGAAGTTATCAAAAGGCACCAGTCCAGTACCCGTTCTCTTGGACTTATCTCGTTGCCAAATATTTTCAGGTGGAAGGCAATCGGCAATATGATGCAGATCGTGAAACATAAAGCTGATCCCATCAGCGCCATAATTCGATCAAACGAAGGGAATAGCACTGCCATGATAACAATGCTGACCACGACAAGGATGCGTATTAAGGCTTTTGAAAGCTTTTGAACCATGGCTTTCGTGCTCTTGGGATCTGTCTGAAGTTCAGGGTGTGACCCAAGTCCACAGAGGACTTCGACTGTGGCCACGAGCGGCCGGCAGCTATATTTGTCAATCAACAATCCATATTTTTCTCGGAAACAAGACAAGAGGACAACATGCGAAATATGACTCACTTCAATGGTACTTTTGTGATTGGAATGATGGCGATGAACATGATCATGCAAATAGACAATACCTGCGAATATTCTTCTGTACGTAGGATATTGGCAGTGACTTCATCTCGAACATCGTCTCCAAACATGATCCAGCCCACTATGGCCATCGTGCAGTCAAGAGAATACTAGGACGAATATTTCGATTAGCACCCGAGAACATTATCCCCTGTTCGTAGAGCAATATGCACGATTTTTCTCTGCATATACTCTTCAAGATGCTGCCGAAACCCGCTTACCGTAAAAATATAAGTGACCCACAGACTCTTGCCGTACTTCTGTGGATGCCGCATATCGCGGTATATATTTGGAAATACGCCGTGGCCACCCCATGGTGCTTATCTGAACATCAGCGCGTTCTCCTAAGCAACCCCTAGCGAGTGATTGGACTTACACATTATCAGCCCAAAGCTAAGAGGAAGAGTGGCCCAGTTGTCAGGCAATAAATACGTCCTGGCTGGTTGAAGGAGAGATCCCGGGGCGGTTGGTTTCGTAAGCCCATCAATACAAGTGATAATGACAACTTCGACAATGTTAGTTTCTCGGTAATACGCTGAGTTCTGAAGCAAGGTACACATACTAGAGGTACAAGAAAGTATGCCGAGTATACTTGTCACGCTAAGAAGTCGCAATGGTAAAAAGTTGAGGGGAACAAGCAAAAGTCCGCATACTATTTTCCACTGAAGAAGGCTCAAGCCCGGGATGAGAGCTTGCAAACTGTCGGCAAAAAGCACAACCAGTGCAACACAAGCCCCAACTAGTTCCAAGCAGAACAAGAGACTTGTCGCTAAGCGTGCGTGATGACCGAAGCTAATGTACGCTAGATCTGCGTAAGTGACGATACTCCGATCAGCATCAAGACACTTTGCAAGGATCTTTGCCGTGTAATTTGTGGCCACTGCAGCGAAAAGCAGAAATAGCAGGCCAAGAAGCCAGCCAGCATGCTTCAGAGCTAGTGGCAAGCTCAACAAACCAACACCGATTAAAACGTTGACGGAATTGAAGATTGTCTGTGGAACCGTAGATTGGCCGACAACGATACACTCTCTCGTACCGTCTTCATGATGCACCTGCTTTACAAGGACCGGTTCCCTTTCGTAGCCCACAGATGTATCACCATGACTTTGTTGCTCTCTGTGCAATTGGATCGCATGCTTCCGTGTCGTCGCACTAACGCGGGAAGAAATCGTTCCGTACGAACCGCCCAGCGATGGTTCAAAAATGTCTGCATTCGATGCCCTTTTTCTCAGATCCAGCTGGCCGGCCATGGCATTGTCTTCATTTTCTCCATCAGCACCCAATAAGGGACGTGTAACGTCTGCCTCATGCCCCGGGTAATCATGTGGCCTGAAGATATCGGTTGTATTTCCCGCCCATTCTTCGTCAGAGTCTATCACAAATGACGATCGTCGAGGTAAGACTTCTGGAAAATATGCAGCTCGCTGCCACGACCGAGCAAAGTTGTCAATGCTATTGACACCTCCTGCCTGTCTGAACCGCGCGGAGAAGGAGGCTGATCTGTGTAGCACAAGAGACAGTTAAACCGAGGCTGGCATTTTATGTGATTTCATGATGAGTAGGCGACTTACCTTGGCCTCTGATAGCTATCTTCTACTCTTGAATAGCTGCCACTGCTGGTTGCAAGCCCATAAGGATATACAACAGATTCAATTGCAGAATCAGCGCTCGGCCTACCAGGCGCAATAGGCCTATGTGAGCTAGAGGCCTGGGCACCAGCAGCTGCAGGGATTGTGGATTCAGGCATTGTGTAAGATTCCTTTAGAGTCCCTTGTCCGGGGACAGAAGCTTCCGGTCGTGAATCAAGCTACTTGCTGCTTGGTCGACTTTCGCAAAGGGGAAAAAAAGAAGGAAAGAAAAGAAAGAAGGAAATGAATAAATGAAAATATGTCAGGGGAAGAGCGATCGAGGAAAGAGAACCTTGGAAAAACCGAGTCTATTTATTGAAGGCAATAAGTACAATCAAGGCTGTTGAGGAGACAAATCAGCTATCGGCGAAGTAACATTAGGGCGTCACTTTTGGTGGCGGATACTAAACCCAGCGTGTGAGTGGAATGGTCGTCACTATCAGCAATATCTTATAGGCGCAGCCACAGGATCAGCTTGCACGATGCCCAGGACAAAGATAAGCGTGTAGTAGTGTAGCACTTCCGTAGTCGACCTAACGGATACAAACAGGTTATCTCCGAGAAAGGCAAGGGTAGAAATCTTGATTGGTAAGTCCAATGAGAAATTATTCCATGATAGAAAAGGACCCCCGGGAGCTTCTGCGAATTTCGGGAGCGAATGTGGGGTTCTTCTTGGAACTAATACTGCTCAGGTACATGGAGTTCCAACCAGCTTTTGTAGATAGTTCTCCGTGTTATTGATAAGCCATTAATAGGATTTGGTTCACCACATTGATTTATGTACTCCAGACGGGGTAGTTCAGCCTGCGATAACATGGACGGTTTCATTCTTGCATGTTCTCAGGATAGTGTTAGGACTCTTGCTTCGAAGTCGCCGAAAAAACTTACGATTCGTAAGAATCGCAGAGTGTAATGACCACTGTTGTTTAGAGAGATGACCAACTTTAAAGACCCAATCTCACGCTAGGTTGTGCCATATATGAATTATGATAATAAGATGATATAATTAGTCGATAGGTAAAGTAGGCCAAATGCCACTCTTAGGACCATCAACGAAGAAGGTTACGTGGGACGTACTCCGGAGTACCGTTCGCATTGATTGGTATGTATTGAGCCATCAAAGATGCTATGTAGGTAGCATGCCCCAGCCAAAGTTCTTAGCAATTAGGAACTTGATAAGGAACGCTCGTTATAATAGAGACCTCCATTTAAAAAGGGTTCGTGTGGAACAAAGCGGTGCAGTTGGCCGGATTAAATCGACTCGCAAGCGCTGGGTCGTATACTGGATGACGGAAGTATGGTATTTCCAGGAACCGCACTTCCGGTCCATCTAATTGATCTTTGAAGCCTTGCGGTCGCAATATTAAGTGTGATCGATAAGCCTAACAATGATGCAAATGCAGAGGCCTCAGATGCGATCCTCTCTCGTATTTATATACTCCCTATCAATATGGATCACAATGCTTCTAAATGAGCGTTGTGGTATTGATTGATTCCCCCCCCTTGTGCGAGTTCCAGCTTATGTCATCGTAAACAGGCGACCGCCGGCCCATTCGTTGGTTCCTTGTGTCGTCGGCCGCCCCCCCACGGTGCCTGATGAAAATTGCTTAAACACCCCGCTGGACTTGGACGGCAAATCGACCAGCCGTGAGGTATGTGACTTGATCGTCTCTTTCCCGTTCACCTTTGTCTTTGAGGTTGCCTACTCTCATAGATCCCCTTGTAATCTCAGTTCGCTTTCTCTTTGCACTCTAAAAAAGACGTCCTACCGCTAACAGTCAGTATTCTAGCACCAGCAAGCCGCACACTTTAACGTCTTCTGGTCGTATCATATTGTTGCCTCGCCCAACATGAGCGCGGCTCAGCCGAACGAAGCGGAGAAGAACATCGAGATATGGAAGGTGAAGAAACTCATCAAGCGGCTTGAGGCCGCTAGAGGAAACGGAACCTCCATGATCTCTCTTATCATTCGTACGTCTTCCGTCCAGTCGAGTCGTCGCTAGAATACTTCTAATTCTCGGATCTTCTTTGCAGCCCCCAAGGACCAGATTTCTAGAGCAGCAAAGATGTTGGCGGAAGAGTTTGTAAGTGGCTTGACTGAGAGAGACACAGCCAGTCTGCTTATCACAGAATACAGGGCACTGCGTCCAATATCAAGTCTCGTGTCAACCGTCTTTCCGTCCTTTCCGCTATCACTTCGACACAGCAACGTCTCAAGCTCTACAATAAGGTGCCTCCGAACGGTCTAGTGGTTTATTGCGGTGAAATTATCACCTCTGAAGGAAAGGAGCGCAAGATCAACATCGATTTCGAGCCTTTCAAGCCAATCAACACCTCGTTGTATCTCTGTGACAACAAGTTCCACACTGAGGCTCTCAGTGAACTTCTTGAATCCGATCAGAAGTTTGGTTTCATCGTCATGGATGGAAACGGTGCTCTGTTCGGTACCCTGAGCGGCAACACCAGAGAAATTCTACAGAAGTTGAGCGTTGATCTGCCCAAAAAGCACGGCCGTGGTGGTCAATCAGCATTGCGTTTCGCTCGTCTTCGTGAAGAGAAGCGCCACAACTACGTACGCAAGATTGCTGAGTTGGCTGTTCAGAACTACATCACCAACGACAAGGTCAATGTTGCAGGATTGATCTTGGCCGGTTCTGCCGATTTCAAGAACGACTTGAACCAGTCCGATATGTTCGACCAGAGATTGCAGGCTAAGGTTATCAAGGTTGTCGACGTCTCTTATGGTGGCGAGAACGGTTTTAACCAGGCTATCGAACTGGCATCTGAGACCTTGAGCAACGTTAAATTCGTTCAGGAGAAGAAGCTTATCGGAAAGTACTTCGAAGAAATCAGTCAGGATACTGGAAAGGTCTGCTATGGTATTGACGATACATTGAAGGCTTTGGAGCTTGGTGCGGCCGAGACACTGATCGTTTATGAGAACCTTGACGTCACTCGGCACGTTCTCAAGAGCTCCAGCGGTTCGGACGTCGTTATCCACACTACCAAGTCACAGGAAGAGAATCGGGAACTCTTCATGGACAAGGAGACAGGCACTGAGATGGAAGTTAGCGAGCAGCAGTCGTTCCTTGAGTGGCTTGCTGAAAGCTACAAGGACTTTGGAGCAACCCTGGAGTTCGTTTCCGACAAGTCCAGTGAAGGAAACCAGTTTGTTAAGGGTTTCGGTGGTATCGGAGCCATCCTTCGGTACAAGGTCAACTTTGAACAGCTTGCTGACTACGATGACGAGGATGAATTCTACGACGGTACGTTTATCCTAATCTCGATGCTATTCGTGTGCTAACCACTCTATACAGATTGACGGTTCCGCGGCCTCGCAGAGAGCGAGGATGAACGGCCAGAAGTTTCCAGTTCGGACCTTCTGACGGCTCGCCCCGTGATTCGTGATGGCGGCTCTCCCGGCAACATGGCCGCAATGGTACACACCGTGCCGTTGCCCAGTCAATATCCTATGAAGCTGCTTAGAAGTATGTGCTTCATTATTTGTGCAATCGTTACTACTTGCTGACACCATAGCAGCAGGGCCATCCAAGCTCCGTACCATGTTCACTGAGGTTATGTAGACAGTCTAGGGTGGCACTAGGTTTTATACTTCAGTTCGAAAAGATGATAGATCTGTTATGTCGAACCTAGAACTCACCAAGGGCTGTCGATCGTATAACACTTGGGCTAGCGCGTTTAGACTGTTTGTTCCAGTGCCTGTCAGCACTGGATCTCTTCGTTGTGTTTTTCTTTTGTTGCTTCTGAGTGCGCCTCTTCTTATAACGGAAGGAAGCCAGTGTTGGCTTCCTCTTCATGTTATCTACAGGTCCTGTAGATGCCTGTAAATCTGGTAGCGCATGACACACGAGGCCTACACGGCAATTGAATTGCTTCATAGAACCTATTTCCTTATTCGGGTATCGATTTGATATGTCTATTTGAATTTTTGCAGGCTACAAGCACTTGTGAACCCCTTACACTTCCTCACCAGTACCGACACTTAGACATATACGAGCTGATCCGCCCATGTTCCCAAGTGCCTGCAACCCTCAGTTACATGTTGTAGCCCATCCATGATTCTGGATACCGCATCCGCATTTTCACTTGTTGGAACGTATTGGCCTTCGACCAGGAATACATACTTCCACGGCCTTATCTGACTCGGTCGCGAATTAATGCTGGTCAGATTCATCCCATGATCCTTGAAAATCAAGAGAGCATCTGCCAAGGCACCCGGGCAATCCTGGCGAATCATAAATGAGATCAAAGTCTTTTGCGCTGTTGGTGTAGTAGAAGTTTTTGTCTGTGCTGGGGAACCGTTGGCATATTGGAAGACCAGCCGACCTGTACGTTCCGAAGTCACATTTCTGAGCACCAGGAACCGGGTGGTGTTGTTGGCCTTGTCTTCGATATTTTCCTTTGATACATCTAGACCGTGATGCTCGGCAGCAAAGCGACTAGCTATTGCTCCACATCGCTCTGTCGTCTCCTTGGACACGATCTCAGCGCCCTTGGAGGTTGACGAGACATCTTGTCTTTCGACGCCTTTGAAAGTTTTTTCAAGGAAAGTATCACACTGACCCCATGCCTGCGGGTGGGTATATAATTTGGTGATGGAGCTGTAATCTCGCTGGCCAGGTGGGAAGAGACCCTTTCGAGTGAGAAGACAGTGGTGAACTGTCAGATAATGTTCCCCGCACACCTTCACATTACTGTAGAGGCCGCTCGGGTCCGCCAAGAGATCTAGAGTCTGAACAACCGAGCCATTGGTTGAGTTTTCGCAAGGGATGATAGCATAATCGACGTTGCCTCCTTGCAATGCTGCGAAAGCGTCCGGAAACGATACGTGGGGTAAAAGTTCAGCTGAAGACCCAAAGCTTTCAACTGCGGCCTAAAAGGTTGGTTAGTCATGGGACTATTGCAAAGTCCAACCTGATGAAATTCTGACCTGGTGGGAGAATGACGCGACAGGGCCGAGGAATGCGACCTTGAGAGGCTCCATGGCAGCGCTATGAGGACTTCGAAGATCCACTGGGTTTGAGTTGCTTGTCTCACGATTTTGTACTCCTGCCAAGAGCTTGTGAGTTGTTCCTTTCCACAGCTGCGGCTGACATAACTAGTCGAAATTTGAACTCGTTTAAGCCCGTGTAATCATCTCCGAGTTGTTTGTTTTTGATGGTTCATCTTGTCCACCAGGGCCTGGTTATCTTATCAATTGGACCAAATGCGCATGTTCAATTTATATTCCAGACGGATGCGACTATTACTGCGACAACAGCAACAACAGCAGAAATGGCGGACACTGCCGGCTTCATTCCGTGCATGTTCGTCTCTTTCCGAAAGGCTACACCGAGATTTGACATCACGACAGCTCCCCTTGACTTTTGACTATCTACATCCCCAGCCGTCATACCTCCTGAGCTTAACTCTGGCCGAACTCTTTCCCACGCTAACCCCAGCGCCAAATGAGCTTCCTTCCGCACACAGCAGATCTCCCGTGCCAGCAGGCCACCACCTAGTCTACTTCCCTCCCCAGGTCACATTGCCGCAGATCCTTCCAGACGGTACGGACACCTTACATGCCCCAGGGAGTCCCTTTGATAGGCGCTTGTGGGCTGGTGGGAGTGTCAGGTTTTCCACCCCGAAAGGCCTGGTTCTAAATGGCAGCCGAGCCGTTTGTATCGAAACTATTCGTGACGTGGTAATGAAGGGCCGGTCAGGCGAAGAAAAGGTTATGGTCAGGATTGAAAGGCGGATCGGCACAGTTCAAGAGGGCGAAGGCCATCGCGATATAAAAGAGCGGATATGGAAGGAAACCGAGGAAGACGTTGGCGATGCTTGTGTCATTGAGACCAGGAATCTATTGTTTATGCGCAAGAAAACTCCCGAGCAACTAAGTCATGACAAGGCTGGTTTTGACATGGAAAATAGGGCTATAAAATGTGCGAGCTACCTCGAAGATCACCAGTCACTATATCTTTGCTAACGGTGCTCGGTGGCGCGTAGCACCCTCAGGTTCATACTTCCTTCACAGACTCATACCTAACAAAACCCTGCTGTTCCGCTTCTCGGCTCTTACTTTCAACGCTCATTCTATACATCTCGACAAGGCCTACACACAAGACGTTGAAGGCTACCGCAACCTTCTTGTACATGGGCCGTTGACTTTGACGTTGCTTCTTACTGCTCTGCAGGGCCATCTGAGTAAGTTACAATTGACTGTCACACACATTGAGTATAGGAACATAGCTCCTCTATATGTTGATGAGGAGTTAGCAGTATGCGGCAAACCCAAATCGGGAAAGGGCTACACAACCTGGGATGTTTGGATTGAGGGTAAGGACGGACGACTTGCCGTCCGAGGTACCGCTTTCACTAGCCCTCTGTAGGGCTCATGGAGTCATGATGAAGAAGCGGCCAAGGCCAATATACGAATAGAGAGGAGAGCCTCCTGATATATTAGCAACTTACTCGGCTTGACACCACTACTCTGACTATAGTACTTGAGTCCTAGAGCAATCACGGCCGTCGAAAAGGGACGTCTTAGTAGATCGATACTTGTTTGATGGAAGGGGTATATTGTGGCATATAGCGACACATTGCATGCTGAATTAGCTCGCATGTAGCACTAGTAACTCGTTATTTCAGGAGCATTATGGACTACTGAGGACCCATTCATGAATATAATAATTTGTTCACACTCGTTTCTGCTTGAAATCTGGGGTGGCTATAGTCAGTCACTGATCATGTCATTATCGTTAACTACGGGGTAGTTTTCTACTAACCAGGCACTGAAACAGCAGGACATTATTACGTACAGAAATGGTGATAGGAACTTCCGCAATTGGTATAACCCTGTGGGTCGCACAGATGCCGGAACGGATAAACAGATGCCGCACTGGAGCTAGGAAATACACACACTATAAGAACTCACTTTCTGTCCTTTTCTTTCTTTCCCATTATTTCCAACTTAGTTGTCAAACCAACTTTGAATGCCACGCCCCCTATTGTGACACTAAATGATGTGTCTCGAATAGTATCTGTACTCAGATTACAGGATTACCACCGTGACTGCTCTTCATAGCAGCTTCTTGCAATCACAATGGACCAGTTTTGGGCTGCTCCTCCTGTTACTAGGTATGAGCTATTCCCTCATCACTTGTGTCTCATATCAGGATGCATAACTGACTCTCCTTCAGAACACTCACTGCACTTACCTTTCTACAGTCTATACTAGTTCATGGTGGCCTTCTCAGCGGTTACTATGTACTGTTCCTTCGCCGCCTTGTCTTTAAGACACTACCAGAGATATGGAGGCTATTCTCGCCGTTCATGATCACTGGACCAGGCCTTTCCCTGATCTTTGATCTCTACTTTAGTATGGCTTTTGCGCTGTTCTGATGAACGGGCGTGCTAACTGCCGGTAGTGTTTACCTATGGCAGCCGCCTGGAGACTGAATCTCCCCGGTTCAGTGCACCTGGTGATTTTTTCACTTATGTGTTCTTCGTAGCATCCATCATCATGGTAAGTTGTGGGAACATCCCAGTCTCATATGCAGGCGATGACTTCGACCCCTGTTGTCTCGCAGTCTTGCTGTGCGCCCATCTTTGTTATTGTTATCGTTCTTCTGTTTCATTTGTTTATCTACCACCTCGTATATCTGCCCGCCCAGCGCAGCATCAGCTGAAGCGGTTCCTGGAAACGAGGGAGATCACCCCTGCATCCCGTATAGCTCCACAACTGATTTTACCGGGGCTATATGCGTTGTAGGCATGGTGGGACGACCAGTGAGATAGCTAGTGTGATGATTCGGTTCACACTGGTGGTTATGGTGCCCTACATCTCTATAACTATATATCCTATTGCTTTGTCATTTTTATAGACCCTTCCTCCCTTCCAATGTAGCCTCCTTGAATTGCCAGTACTGACAACCCAAAGCTCACGGCAGGTTGTCTTTTGAATAATGTAATTTTTACCTCCGGTGAGCTAACCGTGGTACCAAATCATGCTTGCCCATACTGATGTTTTCTCAACTCAGCGTTGATCCTGGCATTCGTTTACACGTTTTCCCAAGACAACCGAGGAAGAAAGGCGAGCTTTTTCATTGTCCAAATACCCGTCGAGTTCTTGCCTTGGGCAATGCTCACATTAACGCTGGTCGTTTCCGGATGGCCTGCGGCGTTGAGGGACGGCATGGGCATAGTTGCTGCCCACTTCTACGATTTTCTTACCCGTATATATCCAACCTTCGGAGGTGGTAAGAATTACCTCGTTACTCCAGCGTTTGTGAGGCGGTTCTTTGCTGCCCGCAAGCCGCGGGGCGAAGCTCGCGCCTTTGGGACCGCCTACCGTGCGACGGACCAAACCCAGGGTTCTTCGGGAAGCTGGACTTCATCCTTTCAGAGCCCTTGGAGCAGAAGAGGGCCAGGAAGAAGACTTGGTGGTGACTGAGTAGGCACATCGTTCCTGCCAGATTGACCAGTC